AGAAAGGATTTATGATGATGGAGCTTACAAATATTGAAGAATTTTACAGTTTCGACTTCTGGTTTTATAAGTGTGCAGCGCACAACGCCTGTCTGTGCTCTATGCGCTACCATATAGTTCGCGAGCTTCGGGCAAGGGGCTGGAGATTGAAACACACAAAGACAGACAGAGACACGGACCTCTAGTCACTGGTAAGAAGCCACTTATTCAGTAGCACCACGGAGGCTTATATACCCAACAGTCAGGTGCGCCAACAGGTGAAAACCTTATCCTCTGATCCTCAAGGCAAGGCAACACGCGCTCATGAAGCAGAGCTGGTAAACAACTTTGACACAGCTTTCAGTAACTCAAATCAGAAGGAAAATAAAGATCTCTAGCAGGGAAGAGCAGCTGGAGACCAGGACTCCAAATGGTCCTAACATAAGTGAGCTCCCTTTTAAGAGAAAAATGGCTGCATTTGCATTTTGTTTTCTGGTTTTGTTTTTTGTTTTTTTTAAATTTTACTGTTGCAGCTAGGGAAGGTACTTTAAACCACCAGAGGGCATTGCGGTTAGCCTCCAGTATCTGCTGCGCTACAAATCCCTGCCTCCAGAGGTGCCTCGTGAAATCTGTTTCCAGGAAAAGAAGCCAGAAAAAGAAGCTTTTTCACATTTAATGAACAGCCCGAAGAGGATCTGAAGATTGAACTTGGAACACAAGGGCGAGCATCCTTTTTATCTAACCAGGCAAAGAACAGAGTAGGTGGTGTCTCACTAAAATGTCATTCTCTTCCTAAACTTTGAATTGCCATCTATGATTAAAAATAATCTTTTCTGGGCAGAAGGTAAACTCAGTACCTCCCAGTATCAACAGAAATTGAAGTAGAGACATAGAAGCCCAGCTTTGGTAGCATCCATCTCTTTGTGGCTTTTGTTGCCACTAATAAAAAACATATAACTTGACTGAAGCACAGCCAACACCTGCCGTGTAGAAGCTAAAGCAGGCAAAAAGCGACTGCATCACAAAATGGCACAGAGAGTGGGTGACATTCTGTCAACCCATGAGCTGGAGTCAGCTCAGCACCCCTTGCCAGCGGTGCTGGTGCAAATGGGTCCATCTTTCCACATCGTGTGAGATAAATACAGCTGCTACAGCTCTAGGCTGTGGCTGATGAGAACGCAGTCATCTGTGCCCCGAGTACGGTGCCCCGAGCTCAGTTCACGGGTATTTGCCAAATGCAGTTGTGTTACTCCAGAGATTGGCATGCTCACGTGAAGAGTGATCTGAGCCATTCTAAAGCACCACAGACTCGGTCTCAGAAGGGGAGTGTGTCATGAAGAACTCCAGTCTGCAAGAACTCCCACCTAAGAGTCACACGATGTGGCTTCGTAGTTAGAAGCCATTTGGCACCTTATTTCAGACCTCTGAGGTCGACTCGACAGACGGTATCTGCCTTGTGTGTGTAAGGCACGTTTCGACGGTTAACTGAGCTCCCCAGCGGTAAGTGACAGCAGAACCTGACACGAGGGCTTCTGGTGCCACTTTTCAGGTGCCGCCCTTGCCCACAACCCTACAGTCTGTCTAGGAGTTACGCTGTCATGCTCATGGGCAGGACAGGCCACCATGCAAGCGTGAGTAAGAATGTCCCTGCTATGTGCACACGCCTTTCCTGTGTGCTCAGGATCTTGCCCTGAATCCTCACTAACATGTCCTGGGCACTACTCTCGAGAGCTCAGTCCATATTCATGTGTTGATTATATATAGGGCAGTTGGGGACTCCTGGTCGGTTGGTATTCAGTCAGGCGGACTAAACCAGAGCTCCATCTGAGCATCGGTTCTTAGGATGGAATGTATTGTAGCAAAAGTAACTGGGGCTCCTCTGGGGCACCATTGGCGCCCTTGTGCTTTCACCATTTGATACAACATGGCCTGTCCACTCTACCTTAGCCTGAGCTGTCCTGGAGCGCTACACAGAACAGGCTGCCTTGAACTCACGGAGATCCCCCCCCCTACCTCCCGAGTGCTGGGATTAAAGCTGTGCACCACCACTGCCCAGGCTAGCCTTGCTTTTTAAACTTAATTTCGTTGTTTATTGTGAGTATATAAGAATACAATTAAATTGGGGGTATTGATATTTTTAATATATATTTTTAAGGAATTTCATGTCTTCCAATGTGGATGGCTTTTATGTTTTACCTGATCACTCTGACTGGAACGTAAATACAGTGTTGGATACAGGTGGTAAAAACAGACGTTTTGTTCCTGGTTATGTGCTAAAGCACGCAGTCTCATGCTGTTGAATGTGATGCTAGCTGCGGGTTTTCCAGAGGGTCACCATTGTTTGTTTTTTAAGACTGCACACCTGCCCTGAGCTGGGCCCTGCCTCCAGGCCTAGAAATACACACAGATACACTAACCCCAGCTCCAAATACACACAGATACACTAACCCCAGCTTCAGATACACAGATACACTAACCCCAGCTCCAAATACACACCGATACACTAACCCCAGCTTCCCCAGCGTCATTTCATTGTCTGCTTTGCACTAAAATGTCCTGACTCACCGCTTGGTTTTGTTTTGTTTTGTTTTTAGCCGTTTTATTAAATCTTTCTCAAAATGCTGACGATCCCTAGTCACAGTAAACATAATAGGGTGCATCTAATTCAGTTGCTGCTTTAGCGCTTTGTCCTAATGTGACGGCAGCGGCTGCCACAGGCGCTGCATCTCCACACAATTGGCTGCTCCGTCCCTGCAGAGACTCGCTCCAGACCCTGAAGAGATCAGGCTTGTTCAGGGTGGTCTGGTCTGGACTGTTTGTGCGTTTCTGCAAATACGTGTTGTCCTGTTCCTAGGTGCTAATTCTAATTCTGAACACTTTTGCCTTCGTCGGTCTGCATTTGAGAACATTCTCTTCTTCCAGTAATTTGCTGAGGATCAGGCTGCCAGAGAAAATTTCAGACATTTCTGCAAAACAAGAGACATAAACTTAGGAAGAAGATCTCCTGGATTAAAGTGCAGGGGCTTTACACAGTCTGTCAGGGTGCTGACATGCCTCTGAGACCCAAGCTCAGCTCTGCTCAGGGCGAATGATTCCGATGTGAGGCCTCTCTGTAAACTATGTGGAACTGTTCTGTTTTGTTCAGGGCTTGCTGAGTCCCTTGTACCTCGCCTATACCCTTACTCAGTTGTTTTTTTATTTTATTTTTATTTAGTACATAGTGTTCTGTCTGCGTGTACGCCTGCAGGCCAGAAGAGGGCACCAGATCTCATTACAGGTGGTCGTGAACCACCATGAGGTTGCTGGGAATTGAACTCAGGACCTCTGGAAGAGCAGCCAGTGGTGCTCTTATCCTCTGAGCCATCTCTCCAGCCCCCTTACTCAGTTTTTATTAGTTGGCCTCTCCCCTCTTTATCTTACTCATCCAACATGTGACTGTTAACCCAGAATTATCCACAATAGCCAAAGATTCACATCATCTAATTTAAAAAAAAAAAAAAGCCGTTTTTCACATGAATCTGTACAACGAAGCACTATGCAGCCGTGTAAGGGAAGAAACGGCAAGCAGCTCTGCGACAGCAGGGATGAGTCACACCAACTCTTAAAGCAGTGCTTACCTGGGGGTGGGGAAGACAGAAAACACAGCTAGGGCGAAGTTAGGAAGAAATGGAAGTAGGCACAGCAAGCAGACGCTAAGGCAAAGGAAAACTAGTTAATGTCCTTGGAAAAAGCATTTTGCACAGAAGAAAGGACAAGGCGATAAATCTGATGGTGGGTGCCAATAGTCCTAGTGCTTGGGGGGGGGCCGAGGCAGGAGGATCCCTACAAACAAGTTCTACGAATCCAGCTCCAGGCTACATAACAAAATCCTGCCTCGACAAAACTAAAATTAAAAGGGAAAAGGTCACGAGTGTTGTAATCTATTTAAAAACACAGCGAAGAGAAGGCACGACATACAAGGCTCACATAGCAGGTGTGTTGGAGAGGAGAGAGAAGGGGCAGAGTGGGGGGCCAGAGATTGGTCCCAGGGGACAAGAGTGGCAGAAGAGAGGGGGAGCAGCGGTGGGGACAGGCCCGCCTTTTAAAAGGGAACGTAGCAGATGGGCACAGGAGGTGCTCTTAGTGATTGCAGTGAGGACGGATCCTGGCAGGACCCCAAGGGCAGGCCAGTGCAGATGCCTGAATATGAACAGTGAAGACTTTCAAATAGATTTCTAGTAAAAGAAAACACCAGGAAGTCTGAAGCAAGGTGAACCTGGTAATAGATTCAAACACATCAATATAACGATGGCCAGAACTACTAAAAGAAGTGAACAGACCCAGGCCAGCAAGGTGGCTCAGTGGTTAGAGGCCCTTGCCACCACCAAGCTTGATGACCTACGTTCTGTCCTCATACCCTCCTGGTGGGAAGAGATAACTGACTCCCACAAGTTGTCCTCTGACTTCCACATGTGTGTTGTGGGGTGCACTTGCCTACATACATACACTCTTATACACACAAACAAATAAATGTAATTTTAAAAATGAACAAGAGACTTGGGAGGCAGAGGCAGGTGGATCTCTGTGAGTTCGAGGCCAGCCTGGTCTACAAGAGCTAGTTTCGGGACGGGCACCAAAGCTACAGAGAAACCCTGTCTCGAAAAACCAAAATAAATAAATAAATAAAATAAAAGAAAGGAGTGGGTGACTGGAGGAGCAAGGTGGGCTCTTCCTGGAGGCCAGGGTGCCTTGTCACTGTGACTAGTCACTTTAGACCTCGACCTGAGGGATTCTAAATTCACCACAGCTGATCAAGTCTGGGATTTGGGCTTTGTCCAGCTCTCGTGTGAAACTGGCCCATTCTAGATCTGTGGATCTCAACTGAGGAATTTTTACCCTTTAAGGACCCATGTTTGGTGACATTTTGATTGTCAGGAGAAGGGAGGGACTTCTGACTCACAGTGTAGAAATTACAGTTATTGCTAAACACACTAAAATGCACAGAACACTCTCCCAATAACCAGAAATTATCTAACCGGAGATGTCCATACAGCAGGGGCCGAGAAATCTGCCTCAAACAATGGAAAGCCACCGATGGGTTTTACATAGTTATTCACTTGAGTGGCAGAAACTGCCCTTAGCAGGAGGGACTCAGTAGTGGAAACAAAGTCTTGTTCCGAAGAAACTACCAGTGGAGGAAGTGGATGGAACAGACACACCAATAAACAGAGTGAACATCAACTGGGGATAAAGTCTACAGAAAAGTAAAGCAGGCCAAGGGAATTGCGCCGTGTTTGACAGCGCCTGTTGAGCCAGGGAGGTACGGTGGCATCTTAGGAGGGAAGATAAGTCTGGTGTTGGGGAAAGTCGAGATGGAAAGGGAGAGTGTAGTCAAGCTTTCTCTGTCCTGCCAGCCAGATGGTGACGTGGAGACTTAGTAATTACGAATGCTCCGTCTTAGCTTACTTAGGCTTGTCCCACTAGCTCTTTTAACTTAATTTAACCTATTTCTATTTATCTACATTTTGTTTCAGGACTTCTTACTTTTATTTCATTCTATATGTGTTACTTTCTTGCTGCTTCCGTTTCTGGCCAATTGGCCCCTGGCGTCTCCCTGGTGTCTCTTTTTCTTTCTTCCTCCTACTTACTCTGCCTGCCAGGAAGTCCAACCTATACCTCCTCTCTCACTGTTGGCCATTCAGCTTTTTATCAGACCAATCAGATGCAAGGTAAAAACAGCAACAACACATCTTTACATAATTAATCAAATGTCAATACAGCTTTACATAGTTAAACAAATATTCTACAGCATAAACAAATGCAATACATCTTTGCATAGTTAAACAAATATTCCACAACAGAGAGGATAGCCAAAGACAGAGACATCAGAGTGGACATGACCAGATTGAGCTGAGCCATGTGGGGAGAGGGGGAAGGGAAGAAAGGAGGAAATGAGGTACAGCAGCCAAGAGGCAAAAAGTACAAAATGGGCACATAACCAAAATGTCTGGATTATATAGGCAAGGGCCTCTGGGGGAAGGGCAGCTCAGCCTCCTGGAGAGTTCCAAGTAGAGGCCCTGGGTATGCTAGCCATAACCTGTAACAGAGGGATTGAGAGATGCCGGGTCCACTTTGATAAATAGACACCTCAGCTATTTGTCCCAGGGCTTGAGACTCAACAGTCGGGAACTTGAGTCTCATGACCACTGCCAATGTGGCCAAGAATGTGTAAGTAAGTCAGTAAGAGAGGGTGAGGGGTGGGAAGAGGTTAGTAAGAGAGCCAGGGGTCAAGTTGTGTTCTTGAGGCCATGCAAAGGATCTAAATTTTACTCTGATTATCGGAAGCTCGTGGGGATGTGTAGGGGAGAGGCAGGGTCTGACTATGTGTCAAGGATGCAGGGGTGGTGGGCTTACAGAGATAACGGTAATAAACTATTCAGTGGCCTGGACAAGAACAGAGTCGCAAGCTTGCTGGTAGGGATGGGACTCAGAAGGGCTAGAAACTGCAGTATATCCTGAAGACTGGCTGGCAGCCAGCGAGGAAGGAGGGTTTGGGTCACTCGGCAATGAAGAAAACCAGACTAGGAAAATTTCCAGTAGGGATTATTGGGAAATATAATTTAAAGTGGGTTGCTTTTGTTTATGCTACATTTGTTTAACTGTGAAGTTGTGAATTTTGGCCTGTCTAAAACACCTGATGGTCTAATAAAAAGCTGAACAACCACTAGCAGGGCAGGGACAAGGATAGGTGGGGCTGACAGGAGAGATTATAAAGAGAAGGAGAAACAAGGAAGAGGAAGAGAACAAGGAGAGGAGGACATCAGGGGCCAGCCACACAGCAAGCCATAGAGAAAGAAGGAGAGAAAGGTAAACAGAAATAGAGAAAGAGAAAAGCCCAGAGGTGAAAGGTAGTCAGGGTAATATAAGTTAAGAAATGCTGGCAAGGAGCAATCCAGGCAAAGGCCAGGCATTCATTTTTTTAAAAACTTATTTATTTATTAATTTATTATGTATACAATATTCTTTCTGCGTGTATGCCTGAAAGCCAGAAGAGGGCACCAGATCTCATTACAGATGGTTGTGAGCCACCATGTGGTTGCTGGGAATTGAACTCAGGACCTTTGGAAGAGCAGGCAATGCTCTTATCCACTGAGCCATCTCTCCAGCTCAAGGCCAGGCATTCATAACTAAGACTCTGCGTGTGATTTACTTGGGAGCTGGGTGGCACGCCCCTCAAAAAGAGTAAGAAGTCAAAGAACAAAAACAACCTCATCAAGGAATAGAGACCATTTGTGACAGGTTCAGCTTGAGAAAGCCACCGCACAGCCAAGGGGAGACTTTGGTTGCCTCTTCTGAAAAAGTAGCATCCCTGCACCTGGAGACAGGAAGCTAGCTCAGGAAGATGGGCTGGTGACATGGTTCAGAAAGTGAAAGCATTTGCTGCCAAGCCTGATGATCTGAATTCAATCCCCAGAACACATATAACAAAAAGAAGTCAAGACCTGACCCCAGCGGGTGGTCCTCTGACCTCCACACACATGCAAGACCATGTGTGTACACACACACACATACATATCTAAATGTAATAATAAAAAGAATGCATTCAGGCAGTGGTGGCTCACACTTTTAATCCCAGCATTCAGGAGGCAGAGCAGGAGGCTCTCTATGAGTCTGAGACCATCCTGGTCTACAGAGCATATTCCAGGACAGCCAAAGCTGCCACACAGAAAAACCCTGTCTCAAACACACACACACACAAAAGTTTACAACCTTACAAATGAGTCTATCCATCACACACACATACACCACAAACACACACACACACTACATACACACATTAAAAGGAACTGGAACATTGTTCACAAGATGATGGCAAATCATAAATTGTCTAATTGTACTTGACGGCGTATCTCCTAATTTGGGGTTCAATAGAGAGCAAACCAGTATCCAAGGGTCTTTTCTGTTTTCCTCCACGCTGCCTCAGTGCAGTACATAAGGCTCCATGTCCGGTGTCCATGTATAACCCAGCAACTCTCTGGCAAACACCAGCTGGGGGTGTCTGATTCAGTTCTGACCCTGTCCCACAGGATGCAGGCTCAGTCCCACAAGAGTGCCCCCTCAGATGCCAGCGCAGGATGTGACATTATACTTCTGACCAATGAGCTATAATCTGGACTTCCCCTCTTTAGGTCTGAACAATTTGCTTGAGTGGTTTGTAGAACTCAGAAAAAGTGCTCGTCACTTGTGAGCTACATTAGTTTCCCATTACCGTAACCAATGCCCGAGGCAATCAGCTTCCAGAGAGAAAAGGTTTCCATTGCTCTGGCTTCAGAAATTTTAGCCCATGATCCAGGGTGATGCGGGACATCAGAACGAAGGTTATAGAAAATAGCAAAGTTGCTGAGCTCACAGATGGGGCCTAGAAGGGAAAAAGAGACCAAGGGCCTCACCAGCCCTGTCAAGGACACACCCTTAAAGACCAAAATATCCCCCCCCCGCCCCACCCCCCAAGGCCCCGTCTCTTGAAGTTTTCACTGCCTCCTAACAGATCGAAGCTGAGGCCTTTGGAGGATACACACAGACTCAAGCACGTACCGATTTGTTAGAAAAGATATCACCATGGATACAGATGAAGATCCCGAGGGAAAAGCCAGAGAGGCAGAGGGCAAAGCTTGTGGGAAGGGACCTGTACTAACCCCAGATACCCGCCTGCCTGGCTGCCCGGAGGCCCTGCAGGCCTCACCATCGCACAAGCGTGGCTGATTACACACCTGGCCTTTCCGGGGGTCAGTTCAGCCCTCTCCTCTTGCTCCTGTGTTAGGGGTGGCTCTGAAAGTCTTAGCCACCCCTGGTATTTCTAGTGACCAGGGGACTGTGAGATACCAATTATCTAACTGACACACAAAACATACCATTTTGGAAACAATTTAACTAAGACACATAGTTTTATTTATGTGTATTGGTGTCTCTGTGTGTATGCTGTGTGGGTGGGGATGTCTGAGAAGGCCAGGAGAGAGTTTCAGGTCCCCGGGACCTGGAGTTAAGGGGTTTGTAAGCCATCTGACATAGGTACCGGGAACTTGACTCTGGTGCATTGCAGGAGCAGCAGCACACACTCTTAGCTGCCGAGCCTTCTCTCTAGTCCAGTTCATCTTTCTTAAGCATTAAAAAAAAATTGTCATCGGGCAGTGGCGGTGCTTGCCTTTAATCCCAGCACTCAGGAGCCAGAGGCAGACAAATCTCTGCCAGCCTGCTCTACAGAGGGAGTTCCAGGCAGGCCAGGGCTACACAGAGAAACCCCTGTCTCCAAAAACAACAACCTCCTGTGTGTGCATATACCAGTCAGAGGACCGCTGTCCGGAGTCAGTCCTCTCCTCCTTCCACCATGTGGGTCCTAGGGATTGAACTCAGGACCCCAAGCTTGGCAGCAAGCTACCTTTACCACTGAGCCATCTTCCCACCCCCTCCCCTTTTAACATTTAGTGAGGCAGAGGAGGGGAGTGGATGTCAAAAGGCAACCAGGGGGCCGTTGGTTCTCTCTGCCATGTGTGTTTTTGGAACTAAAGTTGTCAGGCTCAGAGGCAAGTGCCTTTTCTGAGCCATGTCACTGATACTTCTGGGCTAGGATATGGGATGATGAGCAAATATATTCTCACAGCTGTGTGCTATTATTACAAGGTCAAGGTAATGGCAGACTTTGCATCTGGTGAAGACCTACTACCGAGGTCACAGAACACATTTTCACGGTGGTGGGGAGCAACCCGGGGTCTCTTCAGGCGTCTTACATTAGGCACTGACCCCACTAATGGGGTCTCCACATTGGAAAACATGTTAGAAAACATACTTTGACCAGAGAGCTCCTAAATTTGTGGGGTTTTTGTTTGTTTGTTTTTGCATGCTATTTTGTCTGCACATATGTCTGTGTGAGGGTGTCAGATCTTGGAGTTACAGACAGTTGTAAGCTGCCATGTGCGCCCTGGGAATCGAACCCAGATCCTCTGGAAGAGCAGTCAGTGCTCTGACCTGCTGAGCCAACTCTCCAGCCCTGAATTTGTGTTCTTATTTCTAAGAGTATGATAAAAGCATCCCCCGTTTCTTCCCTCGGTCCTCTGGTGACTAGGTAAAGCTGGGTCATCTTGACCAAATTGCTGCAGGAGGAAGACACTTACTTGTCTTTCCAGCAGGAGTGCCCGCTGGCGGAGTGGGCAAAGTGTTTAGGAGTGTTGTACAGCCGCTGTTCTCGGTTTAAAGCAGCTCTCAATGATTCCTCCGTCTGAGACACTGTGGAGGCACTGAGGAAATATGACTCAATCCCCACCC